AAWWTTTKTKYWTTTAAAAAATTATCATCTATTGTCGGAATGAATGACGTCCAACTCGCTACAGTTGCAAGCATTTATTCTTTACTTGACTGCTGGCGTGTGTATGTTGCTGAAGCCATCAAATTAAGAAGAGTCATGTCATCGATTGGTCCCGTCCGTAAAAAGCATTAGCAAWGAATATGGTGCTTATTTCTTCTTTCCGAATCGTCCCTTCTTGGGGGCGGCAGCCTTAACAGCRGCGGTTGTGGTGGCTTGGACCTTCTTTCCAGACCAATCGAACTTGGTCTTGGCCATTCTGTGTCCAAGATTGACATCCTTGGCCCATGCTTGCTTGGTGTCGGTTCCACGCTTGGTGTAGAACTCAGTGTAGTCCTCGAAGACACCAGCCTTGGCAACATTTCTCTTGTAGTTGTCTGCCTTCTTCTTGGMTTCAGYAGAACGGATGTTGCTGTATTGGGCGGCGCTCAAGCCCGAAGGGACGTAAGACTTGTTTGTGATTTCACCAACCTTCAACTGTAGAATTCATCGCAAAAAGGCAAATTATTAGAATGCGATMAACGTTGAGTATATCGACACAATGTCATTCAAGAAAGTCTTGAATTCGTCATGGTGATAGGTGTCTTTTCGAAGTTGCAGTTGGAATATATTCTCTGCATTCCTTGCGATACTTACGTTCTTCTTGTCTCGGGCTCCGTAGGTGTTTTGGTCGGCCTTAGGGGCGAAGAGATCCATGTTAGCGATGGCATCGAACAAGGATTSGTTGAGGGCGGTTCCTGCACGAGCCTGGGAAGCAGGAGCGAAACCGTTGACGGCGGCAAGGGCAACAAGGAGGAGGACGAGGGCGAACTTCATGATTGCAATTGGAAAAATTMAAAGGGTAGTCAGAAGAGACGAATGTATTGTAATTTATGACGATAGTCGTTGTTCTGGGTGTGAGTCAATGCGGACGAATTTCGTCGTACGTGTGTAAATTGGATGTTGCGCACGGTTTAGAGGATTCTGGGTCCTCGGGTACCTTCAACGTAGAGAAGAAGAAACAAGATGTCACCTTCCTTTGAACATATCAAAGCTCTCAACYCTCATGAGTCGGAGCCCGATCCCAGGAGGATCCTCAAAAGTCTTTTCAAAACATTCATCATAACATATGAGGCGGACAGACCTTTACGTAGAAAACTAACATAAAGGTTCTGTAGAAAAAACTTCCACCATGATACCACTTTCGAGTACACCCAAGGACTTAAACTTTACTGACGCACGGTGAATCAAGCCACGCTGGAGATTTACTTAGATGAGAATCCCAATATGACGCCCARTGTCAGATTTGGTAGTCCGTCCTTGGTAAGGGTATCTTGTGGGTGGATGAAATTAAGAAATGTTTCAAATCTAACCAAATCACGCACAAATTTTACCAGAGCCTTATGAAGGACGGACGATAAGTTACAAAAACTTGGCATCCAAAGATGAAAAGATTACGTAATGCGCATAAGTACCGGAACTCTGCTGAGTCAGACAATTAGCCACGTTGAAGCGTGACTGTATTGAATCACGATAAATGATTCATATCTGACTATCTTAGACCCTTTTTGACTCAATGATTTTTATTTTTCGTGGAGGACAGAATACTGAGATACATTCCGTACGTATTGTAAAGTAATGGCGTGCTTTTACGTACCTTGTAATTACATATTCGCGCCAGTTTTTCTGAAAAGGTCAMTCGTAAGTAACTGTACGTTGTTCTGCACTACAGTAAGTGTAAAAAACTGGTTCGGCTCTTTCGTTACATATCTATGGTACTGTAGCTCTCCCTGTAGGTATTTTACTGTAGCTTACCTACGATACTATTCGTATGTTCCATAGCTTACCGTACGTAGAAACCAAAATTATTGGTTAAAGAATTCTTAACTTTTTCTTCACCGTAAGTATAGTACGTAGGCACCGTACTAGGACAGGTTACCATACTCTCGAGTCTGGATTGGACGTCATGTCAACAGACGAAAGGTATCCTTTAGTTCCCGGTAGAAATTAGAAGTACTTCAGTTTGGTGATTAAAAAATGGTCCGTACCAAGTAGGAGTACGTCGTGTCTATCCGTTATGGTACGGTACGTACGTACCGTACCCTGCGAACCTCGTGAAAAAAGAAAATCTTCGTCTCAGATTTCATYTCATGATTGGACACCGCATCTCGTTCTATCGTCGGAAGTTAGTTGCAATGCATATTCTTTTTCGAGAATTACTCTTTGCAAGAATCTAATTTTCACAAGARCGCCCATGTTATCCCGAGATGATTCCTGTGCGTTGGTGTTCGCATTGACTAGTTTCGCATGGGCGCTGCGATTGAGGAAATGGAAAACGAAAACAGCGACAGCAAACAGAATAATGATGCGATGCAGTACGTCTGGTCAGAGCGATTTGAGAATGACACACACGGTCGGAGCCGCTTCTCAAGCGCATCGCAATGGACCTGTACAAGCCGAAACTGTCATCAATGGAAACAACACCTGTAACAAGCAGAGGGTACAGGAGCAGCGACAGAAGCACTTCATGAAATCCGTCAGTGTTTCTTACAACAATTCCGGTGGCCTCATGATAATGAAGGGCAAAGGCTCGATATTGATTGACGAGACGGGACGATCCTATCTCGACACACGGAACAATGTATGTCACGTAGGCCATTGCCATCCTAGAGTTGTGGAGGCGGTGTCTCGACAATTAGCAACACTTAATACGAATACGCGATACCTTCACCCAAACGTATGCGAATTGGCCGAAAGGTTATGCGCTAAGTGCCCAGACTCCCTAGAGATCGTTGTCTTTGTAAACAGTGGATCGGTAAGATGATGACGACGATGATGATGATTCATGATGATCACGGCGAACAATAGTTTGTGCCAAGCCCATCATCTTCGATTGCAAGCGACTTAAAAAATATCGTGCACTTTTTGTGTCAATGACATCATTTCTCGCTCTTCAATACGCTACACAACCGTGCTTTTGATTCGACAAAAAGGAAGCAAATGACCTAGCACTCCGGTTAGCTCGAGCTTACACGCGCTCGAAAAACACAATTGTTGTTGATGGGGCATATCATGGTCACACACTGGGGKTATTAGAAGTGTCTCCCTACAAATACGAGCACTCGAAAGAATTTGACTTGACAGCACAAGGAAATGGTATCGGCCCTTACAAGACGCCGGGTAATCACATCTGGAAAGTTCCCTGCCCTGATGTATACCGAGGTCCACATTCAGACAGAAATGCAGGGGAAAAGTATGCTTCTTATGTGAAGGCAGCTTGTGATTATTACAAATCAAAGGGTGAAACGGTAGGAGCCTTCATGATGGAGAGTGGAATGAGCGTAGGGTGAGTTGATTGTCTAGTCTGTTATTTACTCTTTATGCAGGCGATTTAAAAAGAAATCAAATGATTCGGAATCCTAAGTTCATCTGTTTTTCTTTGAAGTGGCGTAATTTTGCCTCCCGATGAATTCGTTCGGCAAAGTGTAGATGCGGTCCGAAAGTCCGGAGGCGTTTTCATTGCTGATGAGGTGCAGACTGGTTTTGGAAGACTGGGAAGCTCCTTTTGGGCCTTTCAGCATGGAGATCATGGCATCATTCCCGACATCATGACCGTTGGCAAACCCTTTGGGAACGGGATGAGTCTTGGGGCCGTGGTCACAACTCGCGCCATTGCGGATCATTTTCATTCGATGGGTGTGGAATATTTCAATACCTTTGGTGGTTCTCCTGTCGCTGCCGCCGCGGGTTTGGCGGTCCTAGACATCCTGGAAGACGAGGAATTACAAGAACATGCCTTTGCAATGGGGCAGTATTTGAAAGACCGCTTTTTGGCAATGCAAAAGGAGAGATGGGAAAATGATAGTGCGGCGCCACTTAACGTTTGCATYGGAGACATAAGGGGAAGCGGGCTCTTTCTTGGCATCGAACTTGTGCGCAATCGACAGAYGAAAGAACCAGCTGCGATAGAAACATCTTACATTTGCACGCTCTTGAAACAAGAACACAATATCCTCACCAGCATCGACGGGCTACACGAGAACGTCMTAGTGATCAAACCGCCATTGGCTTTTTCAAGAGAAGACGCCGATTACTTTGTTGAATCGTTTTCGAGTGCATCAGAGCAAGTCAATTBTATGACAAAAACGGAGCTTGCAGCCATATCAAAGACACCAACCTAGGAATAGGTGCTGATACAACAAATTAAGGCATACACTTTACATTGCACGGATTCAGACGATTATTCGAGTTCTGCTGAAGCCTATCATCCTTGGCTGSAGAATATCACTTCGAGTTTAGGTCTTTCACGTCGAAAACTTCAAATCTAAACCCYTGATTCATATTTGTCCTGATAAATGCGAGCATCAATAAATTATATTGAGGCACTGATACACGATGTAGTTCACTGGCGTACGTCAAAGTTCTGTCCAAAATAACGAGAAGAAAATTCATTCTCTCCTTCCATTGTCCTCATCCGGTGCTATGCTTCATGTAATCAATAACATAGGCCGTTCTTTTTTGGGTCACTAATGGTAGGGGTTGGGGTATATCACACTACTTTAAATTGCTACACGTAAATATTTGTTTCGTCCTACTTCTCGTTGTTGTTGTTGTATCCAGGCAAAAGCGACAAATCTTCTCTGTCGATCGCCGTCGCCGGACGAACCAACCTTCCGACAGAAAGCAACTGTTCCCAAACTTGATCAGGGGGGCAGTCACAATCAAGATTGACAACTGGTACCCGATTCTCCCGCAACCAATCGATTGTTACGTGAAGATATTTATGGTATGTTCGCAACCGTTTCAAGGCGGTATGGATGTTGTCGTCGTCTCGCGTTTCGCCCTCTTTCGATTCTTCCTTCCGTTTGAGGATTCGCTCGATCAGGACTGTGTCTATTGTGCAACAATCAGAATACAAGAATAATTMATGAGAAAGAAGATTGGGTCTCATAGATAATAATACGTCAACAACGAGGTCAAATACGAAGAAAAATAAACCGCACAAAGCAAAGTGCCGAGACAAAAATAGCTTGCACTCTCAGTATTTCACGCTGCATCTTTCTATTCCTTACCATCGCATACAAGATTCAGGGCAAGCTCAGGTTGCCCACACAGTTCCACGAGATCCACTGCGTTTTGTTGAGATCTCGGAAAGCCGTCAAGCAGGATACGTTTCCCGGCGTTTTCGGGTTTTCGCATTTTCTTCCGCATCAGCTTTACAATGACGGCTGAACTAACAAGATCTCCTCGAACCATGATCTCTTTCACCTCCCTTCCTAGTTCCGTGTCGCTCTCCACCTCCTCGCGTAGGAGATCTCCACTTGAGATGTGCACAACACCACATTCCTCTATGAGTCTCTTGCTCAGCATGCCCTTTCCACTCCCGGGACCACCAACCASTAACACCATACCGGCCGGGGCTCCCCCAAGGATTGTATCGGCTGATGTCAAGAATTCTTCTAAATCTATTACACCATTTCCATCTAGATCAGCATCTTGATATATCTGCTCGAGGGTTTCGTCATCGGGTGTCTCTCCCACGGCATTCAATGCTTTTCTGAGTCCTTCCCTGTCCAACGATCTAGGATGACCAGGTATTGCGAACTTTTTAAACAAATCCACCAGAGCAAGCCTATCGCTCTCAAGTACAAAGGCCTTAGAACCGGGAGTTTGTGCATCAGACGCTGGTGAGTCGTTRTCGCAAATCTTTTCCGAGTAATAAGTAGGACCGCTACTGTGGAAATTTCGAACGGAAATCATTGACGACTTCGCGACGTCTGCTTTAACAGCATCGAGATTGCGACAAAATCGTTGCTGATAGCAATAAGCCGTAGTCATCGATCGTTTTTTCTCCGACCATCGGCTCAATGATTGCACTTGGGCCTTCGTATTCGTCAGTCGTGGCCTCGACCACGAAGCTACAGTGGCTGCTGATGGTAGCCTTGAAAGATATAACTTATTCATGGCTATGCGACTGAAAATGGGATCTCTAATTCAAACACAGAAATCTACTCTATGTTGTAAGAAATACCGGCCCTATTCGCTGGATTCTTTTACCCGGTATCAGGTAAAAGTACGTTCCTCCCAGCATGTTCCTCGATTTAGCGGTCAACCTACCGGTAACGGTACTGGTAATACTCGGAGCAGCTTCTCGAAACGAAAGATACCCGGCCGAAGACCTGAAGTCTCTTGCCTTTGTTTTTAACGCATGCAATAGGGTCATTAGTCATTATTAAAACCCACGAATCGGAACAACATGAACTTAATCCAACTAGTCGTTTGATGTGGTGGTTTTGGGGGATGACGGATGACATCACCGCGAAAACGTCACAAAACGTTAATCATCGAAATGAACGCATTTTTTCTTACTGATTTCCTTTCGTTTTCAGGATCGAGTCCTAAACACTAAAATCTATCTTTATTGCGGAGTTCGCGAGTATCGGGCGATCGATGCAGTGTGGGTAGCGGGTATCCATTCAAATTCTCACAAAGACTTGACACAATTTCATTCCCTTTGACTACCAGACAGTAGATACCCAATTTTGAAATCATGCGCATCATTTCTGCCGCCCTTCTTTCGCTTGCAAGTGTCAACGCATTTACACCTGCCGTGCTCCGAACACACACCGGATTCCAATCTACCGCTCTTTCAATGTCTACTGTTTCGCAAGACGAACTCAAAAAGCAAGTCGGCTACAAGGCCGTTGATGACTATGTCAAGAGTGGAATGGTTGTCGGTCTCGGAACTGGTTCCACCGCCTACTTCGCCGTCGAACGTGTGGGAAATCTTTTGAAATCCGGAGAGCTCAAAGACATTGTTGCCATTCCCACCTCGGAACGCACCAAGGAGCAAGCATTGAGCCTCGACATCCCCCTTGTTACCCTCGACACCCACTCCAAGTTGGATGTCGCGATTGACGGAGCCGATGAAGTCGACCCCGATTTGAACCTCGTCAAGGGAGGTGGCGGTGCCCTTCTCCGAGAAAAAATGGTCGAAGTCATGGCGGACAAGTTTATCGTCATCGGTACGTAGTTCCATTTTAAGACGCGCATCGCATATCGGTTCGAGTGATTCGAAAGACCCGAAAAGTTTGGTGTTGTGGCAAACGAACTTTCCACACCCGTGTGAACAGCCGCGATTTCTTCTCACCCCATCCGTCCCCTCGCTGGTTTGTATCCGACTGCGATGTCTCGCAACGCGCATTCCCGAAACCCTCCCGCACAACGCACTCGATTCGTTGCACATCACCAGTCGATGAATCCAAGCTCTGCGATGGATTGGGACCCGGATTCCCCGTTCCCGTCGAGATCACCCCCTTCTGCCACGAGCACACCATGAGACAGGTCGCTGCCCTCGATTCCTGCGCCGGCTGCAAGCCCGTCCTCCGAATGGGATCCTCCAGCAGCAACCAGCCCGACGGGGACGAAATTGCCGTCACCGACAACGGAAACTACATTGTCGATCTTCACTTCGAGGAACCCATCAAGGATGCCCGAAAGATGGCCGCCGATATCAAGAACGTGTGCGGTGTCGTCGACCACGGACTCTTCTGTGACATGAGCACGGCCGTGATCATCGCCGGAGCCGATGGAATTTCCGTCAAGGAATAAACAGTCTGTACTGTATACTTACTACGAGGAATCGCCCTGCCGCTCAATATTTTTTGGAAGAGCTCTTGCATTTTACCTCGAATCTTCTGGACCACGAGCTACTAGATAGGCGCAACGAATTCTTTCGGGCGAATCGGTATGCGAACCAATCGCAGACACACCTGATCTCGGGCGCAATATTTTGAAACTGAATTTTAACAAACTATTTCTGAGAAATCCAGCAAGCTAGGTCGTAGATGCGATTTCAATACTAATAAATGACACGTGAMTTATTGCTGGAAATAAGACGGGTGCAATCGGCACCGCCGAGAACGGTGTTGCGAGACAGAAAACAACGCAACTCCGTTCGGTAGAAACCAAAAGGATTCTCAGTCCGGCAGACCGGCGTGGCCGTCCAGGATTCCCTTTCCGCCCTCGCCCTCGTAGTCGTCGTCTTCCCAGCTCTGGTGCTTCTTGGCTCCCATCAAAAAGACGCAGATCGTAGCTACCGTGAGCGGAAGCCAGAGCAGGACGCTGAAGCCGTTCATGTAGTTCACGTTGTACCCGATGTGGAAGGCGTCCTCGTAGACCAGGCCGTGGGTGGTCTTGAGCAGGACGCTCACCTGGTAGTGCCCCGGGCCGCTAGGGATGTAGAAGCGCTCCGTGTAGATTCCGGGCGCATCGTATGTCTTGAGCACCACGAGGCCGGAGGTTCCCGTCCGGACCTCGACGTCGTACCGGCGCTTGTCGGGCTCGTTCTCGATGTTGGGTCGGTTGTCAAAGATCTGAAAGGTCACCGGGACGTACACGCCAAAGATGTCGCGGTACCGCCGGCTCATCTCGTGCACAAAGATGCCCTGCGAGGCGCTGTACCCATGGGAAGAACCGCCGGTCCGGCTCCTCAGCTCGCCGTGGTTCCAGACGTTCAGGGGGTGGAAGGGGGCGTCGCTCTCGAGCGTCACGACGTTGCCCGAAGCGGTGGAGATGACTAGGTCCAGCTTGTTGGTCCCGTGGACGTCGTCGGCCTGGACCATCGAGTTGATGGTTTCTCCGATCTCGATGGACTGCGTGCAGCCGGATCCGCCCTCGACAATAACCAGGAAGGTATCGATGGGCTGCACGATGTGGAGGCCGCCGGCGGTACCGCCGTGGGGAACCTTGTCTTCCCCGCCGATTCCGGATTGTTCCTTGCTCGGCTTCGGCCTTGCGAAACGTGTCCCGTTGCGATTCAGGTAATCGGCAATGTGGCTCTGGTCCTCGTGGAGATCCACCAGGAGGGGTGGGGAAAGCTTGGCATGGGCAAAGTCTTCCCCGACGTTGTCCCGGTGGTAGTTGGCGGCCTTCGTCCAGAGGTTGATCGGGTAGCCCTCGAGGTCCTTGCCCGTGTCCGCGGAGAGGACATAGAGGTACTGTGTCGTCCCGTGTCCCTCGGACTTGATCTGCTGGAGGAAGACCAGGTCGAGGATCCCGTCGCCGTTCACGTCGCCGAGGACCATCTCGCTCGAGCCGATCACCTCGCTGCGTCCCCGGTGCTCCTTCTCCTTGTTGTTGGTGATGCTGAAGAGGAGGTCCCGGTGCCACAGTTTCTTTCCGGTGTGGTCGAGGCAGAGGACGTTTCCCCCGACGTCCGCCACAAAGATTTCCAGGTTGGTGTCCCCGCGGACGTCTTCCACCAGAACGCGCGACTCGATCCCGTACTGTAGCTGGACGGGGAAGTTGTCCCTCGGGAAGAGGTTGCGGGCATCCACGACGTAGAGAAATCCCATGCTGGTCCCCATCAGGACCTCGGCTTTGCCGTCCCCGTCGATGTCCGCCACCGTCGGGCTCGAGAGAGCAAAGGCACCCAGCTTGGTGTTGTCCTCCCGCATCGGGATGGCGCCCACTGCCGTCAGGTTCACGGGGGCGGAATGGTCCGCGCTGAGATCGAGGTGCTCCTGGCGGCCTGTCGCGAGAGAAAGAAAGATGGAGAGAAAAGCCATTCGATGGGCATTCCAAAAAAACGAGTGGTCAGCACAACCACACAGAGGCAAACAAACACGACCCAACACCGAACGACCCGGCCGAGGGCCGATTCTCGGCCGGTCTGCCGCACCACACCACACCACACCACACCACACCGCGGTGTTACTCACCCCACCTGGGGCTGTCCCCAAAGTGAAAGACCATGATGGCGCTCGCGGTGTACATCCCCCGCTGGGTCTCGGTCTCGTCCCCGTGGTCGCTATGCTCGAAGCGCTTGTAGGAAAAGAATCCCTCGTATTCGTCCTCGTCGAAGTAGTACGAGACGGCCAGAAAGAGGAGCCGCTCGGTCTCCCCCGGCTTGTTGGAGTAGAGCTTGGGGAGGTCCGCCAGGACGGGGGTGCAGAGGACGTGCGGGGGGAGCCGGATGTAGTGCCTGTCGTCGAAGTAGTCCTCGTGGAGGTCGTTGTACCGGCCCGAGTAATAGTCGTCGTAGTTCTGGAACCGGGCGTAGTCGTCGTGCGGCGGCGGGTAGTCGTCGTCCCCCCCGCCGACAAAGGTGCCACCGGCGGCGCCCTCGACGTGGACGCCCGCGGCTTCCTCCTCGTCGGGAAGGCCGTCCCCGCTCGCGTCGGCCTCGTCTGCCGCTGCTTCGCCGAGAGCGCCGCCGGCGTTGTCGTCGTCGTCGTCGTCGGGGTGCTGGAGGTCGTCGGCAAAGGCGGCCCAGTCGGTCTCGTCGTCGCCGGGAGGGTCTCCTCCCCCCGCTGGTTCGTCTCCGCCCGCCGGGTCTTCTTCCAGGAGCCTCCTGTGGCCGGCTTCGTCTTCTTCTTTTTCTTTGCCGCTCTCGCCGCCGCCGCCGCTTTCGTCCCCAAAGTCGCGATGGATGAGGTGCTGGTTCTTGTCGTCCAGTTCCGCGTCCCCCTTCGCGTCGGGGGCGGCCCCGGGCTTGCCGGGGTGGTGCTTGCGCTTGCGGCGCTCCTCGAGTCCCTTGACGTGGTCCTGGTCCTGGCCCAGCACGTTGGCCGTGACCCCCTGGAGGACGGCCTCGTGTCCGGGCCCCCCGACGCCGTAGGAGTACTCAAAGTACGAGTGGTACGGGTCGTAGGGCCGCTCGTCGCCGGCCCGGTGGGAGGAGTCGGGTTCCTCCTCCTCCGGGGGGGGCTCCCCCCCGGCCGCCACCTCCGCCGCCCGGGCCGCCTTGCGTTCCTCCTCGGCCTTTTTGGCGGCTTCCTCGGCCTCCTTCTCGGCCTGGTAGGGATCGATCCCGAGCGTCTCGTTGACCATCGCCTCCATCCACTGCCGCCGGACGTAGAGTCGGGGGACCTGGGCCTTGAGAAAGTAGCGGCTGGGGTGGCCGCCGCTCGCGCTTCCGCCGTCGGCCACCTGCAGGCCGATCGCGTAGAGGCCCCCGTGGTAGTCCGTCAGGACGGCGTCGAGGATCCCGTCMCCGTTGACGTCCGCCACGAGGGGGTGGGTCTGAAAGGCGCTCGACTCGAAGAGCAGGGGGAACTCCAGGTGCTCGGTGAGGCCCTCCTTGAGAAAGCCGCTGCCGCTGCCTCCGCCGGCGCCCGCTCCCCCCCGGGCGGGGGTGAGCAGGTCCAGGTGCTCGTACTGCGTCGCGTAGAGGACCTGCCGGCCGGGCCCCTGCCAGGGCAGGACGGGATAGACGACCGGGGGCTGGTGGATCCCCAGCGGGGTGGTTTCCCCGTTGTCCCCCAGGCCGGGTGCCCGGTCGCTGCTCTTGCGGGAGACCCCCAGGGAGAAGCGCAGGGGGCAMGTCTGGTCCTCATCGGTGGCCTTGTCGGCCTCGAAGATCCGGGGGACCGGCCTCCGGTGGACGATGACCCCCTTCCGGTCGGAGCTTTTCTTGCCCCAAAAGTCGGAGGCCTTGTTCTTGGCCGCCGGCTGGTCGTAGGGGTCCGTCCGGTAGGGGATGTAGGCCCTCGAGTGCGGGTTGGCCGAGCAAGGGGAGGCCCCCGCCAGGAGCCAGAGGCCCGCGAGGAGCCGGGCGGTGTTGCCCAACGGCGTTCGGTGGGGATCCATCGGAGTGGCGGCTTTGCGCTGTGCTGGTCYGCCGGGCCCTGTTCTGCGGTGCTCTTGTCTTCTAGACGAAGGAACCGCGCCAAAGCCGACTCTTGTTGCGTGTTGTTGGCAAGTTCCTTGGTTTGGAACCGGGATCTTGCTGGATGGGATGTTACGCTCCGATCTGTCGGGATGCTTCGATGCGTCGCGTGTTCGGAACGATACGGGACGGAACGGATCGAGTGCGAGAGCGAGTGCGAGTACGAGTGTGTGTGTGTTGTGTTCGGACTCCTGCCTCGTGTCCGATGTGGCACTCGGTCGATACGGTATGTACAATACAATACACTACCTCTCGTGTTCTTGCAAANGGTAGTTCCTCATCCACTGTCTTCTTGCTGTCATCATCACCACTGTCGTCGTTTCTGCCGCTGTCCCTCTTGCTATCTTCATCCTTATTCTTGCTGGTGTCGATGTCCTCGTCCTCGTCGTATGGCTCCGTGGAAACAAACACCTGTTTGGTTTCATACTGTTCAATGATTGGATTTTCTCCTCCATTGTTGTCACCTTGAGGAGAGGGGTGCTTTAGGTGGGCCTTATCTTGATCTTTAGAACTTCCTTGTCCTTCAGCAGCAGCAGCAGTTGTCGTCGATGCATCAGGAGAAGTGGTAGTTCCAGGACAAGGGGGATCCGCAGCAGCCGTAGATGTATCATGGTGAGGAGGAGCAACAGCAGCAGAAGCAGCATCAACCTCGTTGTTGTTGCCACTGCGAGGAGGCGGCTTTAGGTGGGTTGTCACATTGCCGCGATCCTTTCCTTGAGCAGAAGCAGCAGCAGTCGTCATCGATGCATCAGGAGCAGCAGTGGTAGTTCCAGGACACGGGGGATGCGCAGCTGTAGATGTAGTATCATGGTGAGGAGGAGCAACAGCAGCGGAAGCAGCATCATCCTTGTTGTTGCCACCGTGAGGCCCTGCAAGACCCTCTCCTTGACCTCCACTTTGTCCTTGAGCAGCAGCAGAAGCAGCAACTGAAGCAGCAGCAGCAGCTTGAATAGTTTCTTGAGATACCTCGTTTCCCATGGTAGAAAGATGATTAGTAAGAAGAGCAACTAATTGACCAATTCCTAGAATTGTGAGGGATTTCTACTATTACTGGATCACTTGTCCATCCTCTATTGCGTCGCAAAAAGTATACGCAACCAGTAGCGACTGGTTGCTTCTTCTCCTTGTTGCTGTCACCGTGGAAGGCGGATGAAGAAACAGAAACCATTTTTATTCTTGTCTGTTGCCGTATCTACAGTAGATTAGCGTCAGTTAGCGTGACGGCCACCCTATCGTGGACAATGCTGTTGCAGTAGTAACAGAGGCGTTTGGTTCCATCGATAGTGACACCAACAGACAACAGAAGAGGAGGATAGCTTCATTACTAATAAGGAACTGTTAATTTGAACGAGAGCAAAACAAGCAACAAAAAACCAAGCAAATACTCATTCCTAGTACAAATTCCTCGTAGAATTATACGGCAAAATTGGATATCAGGGGAGTATACTGTACAGTTTTCGATATTTTCGATATTTCAATCTGTCTAATTAGCCAATCAGATTGCTTGATTCCGTATTATCCCTAACCATAAGAAAACGCCAACTTTCAAATAAAATCCCCTCGCGAACAGATGTGGTACGTACCTTGCGCAGTCTCGTTGCGTTTCGGCATTGTTCTGGTTCCCGTGCCGTTGCACGATCATACGGTACTGTATCACGGCGCCGCCCGCCCCTTCCCTCCATCCTTTTCCCCATAAATCCGGTCCCAAAACCAACCCGGTTCTCATCCATCATCCATCATCCATCATTTTTTTGCTCGACATCATCGAACAGATAGATCGATCTAGCTAGTCACCACTCACTCGTGCAATCTTCCGCACGRGAATTCTTCTTTTCCGAAAACCAAAAATCGATGTCACCTTTCTCGACAGACACCGCGAAGCGAAGCGACACGACACGAGAGGACACAATACGACACGACACGACACGACACGACACGACACGACTCGATGCTGATGCCATACTATAAGTAGAACACATTATTGTATTGATTGTAAGACACAAACCACGAGTGATCGAGGTCTTGGACACAACAAGAGACAACAAAGGAAGAAAGGAACAAAGGAAGCAAGCAAGCAAGGAACGAAAATGCACGGCCGCCACCACCTGCCCCTTCGAATCGCCCGCCGGTTTCTGTCGGGGGGACGAGAACGACAAAGAGCAATCTCCGCCGGGATTCCAGCGGCCGGGCTTTTCGGCTCGCCGGAACTACCGCTTTCCAGCGGGCACCGCCGGAGCTTCTCCAGGACCACGGGCAACGACAACGACAACGACAACGACACCGACGAGTACGAGTACGACCAGAGCCTCGACTACGACTACGACTACGACTACGGGGAACCCCTTTCCGGGCCGGGGACCGCCCTGGTGGTGGGATCCTCCGGCTGCCTCGGCAGGGCGATCGCCCACCACCTTTCGGGGGACCTGGGGGTCCGCGTGATCGGGGCCGACGTCCGTCCCCCGGGGGAGGAGGACCTCCCGCTCCTGGCCGGCGGCTTTGTCGAGCTTCCCTCGGGAGACCCTTGGGGGGACGCAAGCGGCAAGACCGATCCAGGGGCCCCTCCCCGGCCCGCCTCCCTCCCGGACCTGACCGTGGCCCTGGAGGAGGGCCTGCGGGGGCTCCTCCCCGAKGGGGGCCTGGACGCTTTGGTCTGCGCTTCCGGGGCCTGGGAGGGGGACCCCTCCGGACCGGAAGACGCCCTCTCGCAGGCGCTGGTGGCCGAGCGGATGCTGGGGGCGAACCTCTACCCGGTCCTGGCGGCCGGGTCCGTGGCGGGGAGCTTTTTCGCCAGCGGCGGCCTCTTTGTCGCCCTTGGGGCCACGGCCGCCCTGGGAGGGACCCCGGGCATGCTGGGCTACGGGGCCTCCAAGGCCGCCGTCCACCACGCCCTCACCACCCTCGGGGAGTCCACCGGGAGGGCGGTCACGGGCCGGTCCAAGCGCAGGGCCACCYKCAAGATGCGCAGGGAGAAGGAGCACCTCAAGGACCTCACGGTTTTGGGCGTCCTCCCGTCGACGATCGACACGCCGGCCAACCGGGAGGCCATGCCGGACCAGGACGCCTCGGAGTGGACCAAGCCGGGGGACCTGGCCAAGGAGATCGGCTTGTGGCTGGCCGAGCCCTCCCTCCGGCCGCACTCGGGGAGCCTCCTGAAGGTCCGGCCCTCCAAGAACGGGAMCGGCGCCGACTTTTCGGTGGCCCGGTAGCAAGCCCGGAGAGCGTGCGCACTCCATCGAACAAAACAAAACAACACGAATCCGGTCGTTCTTGGAATTGGGTTTGGGGTTTTTTCGCCACCGTACGGTAAAGTACCATGCTAGGATGCTGGGGTTGCACGAAACGAAAAAAGTAGTTTTTACTTAAAGTAGGGCAACATTCATATTCTATACAAGAAAAAAGGCCGATCGATGGAGGGTTGGTTGGCAGCCTGCCTAAGGCAAAAGCTTGCCCCCGCGGTCGATCGCGTTCTTGGTGCCGGCCGTGACAAAACGACGCTCTCTCCGAACCGCGGCGCAGCGACGGTGTGTTGTATAGTATATAGTGCGTGTGTGGTCGGGATCCGGTCCGGTTCGGCTCGTTTCGTTTCGAGGCGCTCGTCTTCKTCGCTGGCTGGCTGGCTGGGTTGCGTCCTTCCTAGTTGCGGTTGAAAAAGCCCCCGCCGCTCTTGGCGCCGGCCTTYTCTTCCCGGATCGTCCTCAGYTTTTCCATGAGTTCCTCCTCTTCCTTGCTCAGGTCCTTGGGGATGTCGACCTTGACCGTGACGTAGTGGTCTCCCCGCTGGTTGGGGTTTCCCAGCCGMGGGGCGCCGTTGCCCTTCAGCCGCATGACCTGGCCCGGCTGCGTTCCGGGGGGGACCTTGATGGTCACCTCGCCGTCCACGACCGGCGTCTTGATGGAGTTTCCGAGGATGGCGTCGATGTAGCTGATGGTCTCCTCCGAGTAKATCTCGGGGCCCTCGCGGCGGAACTTGGCGTCCTCCTTGACCCGCAAAAAGATGTACAGGTCTCCGGCGGGGCCACCGTTGGGACCGGCGTCTCCCTCTCCCCTCACGCGGAGCTTGTTGCCGTCCTCGACACCGGCGGGAACGGTGACCTTGATCTGCTTCGTCTTTTGGTTGAGGCCCTGCCCGCCGCAGGTCCCGCAGTATTCCTCGACCTTTTGGCCGGTTCCGCGGCAGACGGGGCAGGTTTGTTGCGTCTGGAAGTTTCCGAGCGGGGTGCGGGTGACCTCCACGGTGACCCCGTTGCCCCCGCAGTTGGGACAGGTGCTGATCTTGCTGCCGGGCTTGACGCCGGATCCGCTGCAGGTGTCGCAGGTTTCCAGGTGGCGGATCCTCACCTTTTCTTCCCCGCCAAAGACGGCCGTCTTGAAATCGATCTCCAGGTCGAACCGGAGGTCGTTGCCCACCACGGGTCCCCGGGGCTGCTGCCGCGTTCGGGGGCCGCCGCCAAAGCCTCCGCCACCTCCAAAGAAGGAATCGAAAATGTCGTTCAGGTCGACCTCCTGGCCGAACCCGGCGCCGCCTCCAAAGGGGGATCCCTGGCCCTCGCTGGCGGCCGAGGTTCCCACGCCCGACTCACCAAACATATCGTATTTCTTTTTCAACTCGGGGTTCCTCAGCACCTCGTAGGCGCGGTTGACCTCCTGGAACTGTTCGGTCGTGTCCTTTCCCGGGTTGGCGTCTGCAGCGAGAGCAACAACAACAACAACAACAACAACATCAACAAAAACACACGCGCGCGAAAGAGTTGAGAGAACAATTCCATAAACGGAGAAATTTCCGAACCCCGTACCAATCGTGCAACGCCCGCGGCGACGAATTCTTTTTCCCATCCAGACGTACCTGGGTGGTATTGCTTCGCCATCTTTCGAAAGGCGGATTTGATCTCCTTGCTGTCGGCGTTGCGGTTGATGCCCAGGATTCTGTAGAAATCGCGTCCGGTTTGTTGCCGGGACGACATGAASAGAGACGTGCTTCCCTTTCTTCCGGCCGAGGGGGCGGTTTTGGCAATTCTGGCATGACCACCGGCAACGCGTTGTTGGGTAACACCTCCGGTGGGGGCAAACGCATTCACGCCTTCGGAACTGATTCCAGCGAGGCACAAAAAGGCCGAAACGGCAAAGGACGGAACTCGAACCATGATGTCTATTAATTTCTGTCTACAGAAGTCTTTCTTTCTGTCGGAGAACTGGATCAATTCCAAGCAGTTCTRTATTCAGCTCTTGAATCGCAAGGGACTAAGGCGGTGTGTCTTCTGGTGGAAAATTTGCGCCACGAAGATGAATGCGTTCGGATGGTGWTCGCCGATGCAAAGTGTAAGGAACWGATGTGAAGTCAGAAAAASGAACTTCCAAAGGGAACAGAGGATGCGCAAAACTCGAAACAGGAAGCAGCGGCGAGATGGATCACCAGCAGCASCATGTGATGCATGCTTGCGCGTGGTGAAAAAATCGATCGACGTCGAAAAAATCAGTTCATTCTTTCTCCCCCTCGGGCCGCGCCTCCCGTATTTCTGTGGTCGTTGTAGCGCGTTGCATTGCGTCAGTCGGGGACACAATTTGRAAAAGTTGATACCACGTGGTACCAAGTACAACACGGGAGGCAGAAAGACGATTTTGCAATGCCGTAATAGTTACTGTACTAGTTACGCATGACTCGTAGGTAGTAATACTACGTACTAAGCATAGGACAGACAGTGACCTCCGCAAGTATAGGATTTCAAAACTTGTAAAAAAATTATCAAGAATAGAAAAATATAAATGCAACAACTTCGGATATCTAGGTATCTAGTAGTTCTAACACTTTATCAAGAGTATGAGTGAAGATCAGTCTCACCTCCACCACCGATGATCCATTCGAGAGCTATGCAACGCAACAGTTAGAAACTATGGAAATGTTGAGACACGTSTTGTTTTCGATCAGTAGAATGCTTTGCAGAATTCAATTCTTCATCAAACGCTCCGCCAGCTTTTCGCGGCACTGCCAGAAAACCGTTTTTGCCGGAATCAATGCAAACMATGCATTCTAGAATGAATCGACACCTCCAAATACTAGTGCTCGAATTGTGCACTTGGTTGCTTTTGGTCTGCGAAAAATGGCTGTTTGACAACAGCAACTGCAGTGGGCACACACGACAACGACGATTGACCGATGCCATTTCTTTTAACGCCGTACGTGGTTCGTTTRTGTTCTGAAATCTCACGGATTCGATTCGGAGCAGAGACTGGAGCCCGCACCGGTAGGGATTTTTCATTCACCATAACGTTGATTCCGTAGAATCAGAAGAAATATCAATAACTTCAACTTGGTCGCTGCGCGGTTGTTTGAGTGGCTGAGATTTGTTTTCTTGGCATCGGGCTGTGCCATCAGAGCAATTCGGCTTGCTGTCTTCGCTCGATTGTTGCTGCTCCTGTTTTGGAGGCACTTCTGCTTTGTTGTGTTCTCCATCGTTTCCCCCGACTTCGTCGCTGAGTGGTCGTTTCGGAGACTGGAATTCCACTTCCTGGCATTCAGATGTGTCATCGGTGCCATTGCGATTGTTTTCTTTGTTTGGGTCTTGCCAATTCTGTTTTGTTAGGACTTCGACTTTGTTGTGGTGCGGATCCCCGGCTTTTTCGCTCTGTGCTTCTTGGAGTGGCTGTGATTCCATTTCATCACATTGAGTGGAACCATCGGGGAAATCCCCGTTGGCGCCTTCTTCGTCACTCCGTGGTCTTTTCAATGGCTGGGATTCCGTTTCCTGACAACCACTTGTGCCATCCGGGGCACACCTCTTGTTGTCTTTGCTTGGGCCTTGCTCCTTCTGATCCAGTGGCACTTCTGGTTTGTCTTGTTTCGAATCCCCAGCTTTGTCGCCGTCTGCTTCTATGAGCGGCTGTGACTGCGATTCCATTTCCTGACAACTTGGTGAGCCATCAGGGACATTCCCGTTGGCGCCTGCTTCGTCACTCCGTGGTCTTTTCAATGGCTGGGATTCTACTTCCCGACAACCGCTCGTGCCATCCGGGGCGCGCCTCTTGTTGTCTTGGTTTGGGGCTTGCTCCTCCTTCTGATCTGGTGGCGCTTCTGGTTTATCTTGTTGCGAGTCCCCGGCTTTGACGCCATCTGCTTCTCTGAGTGACTGCGACTGCGGCTGGGACTGCGACTGGGACTG